TGGCAATGACAATGATAATGGCAATTGTAATGGCAATGGCAATGGCACTGGCAATTGTAATGGCAATGGTAATGGTAATGGTAATGGTAAAGGTAAAGGTAAAAATAAAGGTAAAGGTAATGGTAATGGTAACGGTAATGTGAATGGGAATGGGAATAGGGATGGTCATGGTAATGGTAATGGTATTGGGAATGGGAATGGAATGGGAATGGGAGTGGGAGATATTGAGAGAGAGAGAGATAAAAAACAAAAAAACAAAAAAAAAAAAAAAAAAAAAAACGAGAAAGGAAACATCAGCATAATGATGAGGAACAACGTGGAATATCGCAAATTTTCGTCTAAAACCCACAGCGACTCCACAATCCCCCGGCCTCGAGGAGGAGGGGGGGGGGCAGGAGGAGGAGGAGGAGGAGGAGGAGGAGGAGGAGGAGGAGGAGCTGCAGCACTCCGAAAGAGAGAAGGGACGAGCGCAGGCAGCCACGGCCAAGAAGGCCAAAAGGAGCTCGGGAGCCCTCGAAGGGCACAGCAGCCGCAGCGGCGGCGCCGCGGCGGCGGCGGCGGAGGCGGCCCGCCCCACCCTGCAGGAACGAGGGAGGGGACGGAGGCTCGGCCCCTGGATGCGTGGCCCGCCTGTCCCCCAGCCCATCAGCGTCACCAGGTTCGGGTGCCTGAACTTGCTCAGGACCTGGACCTCCTCCGCGAAGCCGGAGGAGCTGGTGCTGTCGTCGTCCACCTCCATCACCTGCTCGGGCGCTGGCAGAACAGGGTTCCGGGCTTCGTGGGGCCTGGCTCAGTGATGTGCACTGGGGGACGCCAACCCCCGCCCCGTTCCACTAACTGGAACTGCCGTGACCCGAAAAAACACCAGCTACGGCAGACCTGGTTCAAGGATTCTGGCCAATGTAGGGGCTCCGGGGCCCTACAACTAACGGGGTCCCCTGACCTGGGGTCCTGGCTATACCCGGTAAAAACAGTGAGGGCCAGCATTGTCTCCACCGGCCCGAGGGGAAACGGCATTCGGTGGCAACTCGTGGGAGCCTCCCATACCATTTTGTCGGCTCCTGCGAATCGACGCCAGTCGACGCTAAGCCGACGCTGATCGGCGCCAGATCGACGCCAATCGACGCTAGCGGGCGCTAAATGGAGGGGCCCTGGGACACACACACACACACACACACACATATATATATATATACACAAAACAAAAGGATTCCCCATAGACTCACATATCTTCTGGATTCCCGTCTTTCCCCCCGCCCACTTCCCATATCTTCCCACATTGTCCTGGGGATGGACGGTTAATCATTGTGTCTGCGTGTGTTTGTTTTTGTTCCCTCCTGACTAAATCGGGGTCCCCTCACCTGGGGTCCTGGCTGTGTCGGGGATCTTCTGACTCGAGTCAATCCAGACCCGGGTCAGCAGGAAACCAAAAACTGCAATGCAGGACAAAAAAAACTGCAACGCAGATCTTCGCAAACCCAGGGCAGCCAATATGCGCTGCCGCCTCGCGGCCACGCGCGGCTCGCTAACCCGGGTCCGCCAGAGGGGGTATTCGCAGCATCCTGCAGCATCCGGTGCCCTGGCTGACCCCCCTTTGCATTGGACCCCCGTCTCTGGAGCCCCGGCGGTGCCCGACCTGCGGGGCACCCGGGGGGCGGGGAGGAAGGAAGGCCGCGAGGGGGGCCCGGGGAGGAGAGGGCCGCGCCGCGGCGCAGGGCCGGGCACGGGCACACCCCGTGCGCGGGCAGGGGGTGCCCCCGCCTCCGTCCCCCGAGGCCCCAAGCCCGCAGGGCGGTGGACAAGTCAGGATCAAAAGGCCCAAGGGCACACACACAAACAAATATATATATATATACAAACACAAGTCCCACGAGTCTCCATATTTCCATGTACTTTCTGGGTGTTCATCGCCTCCCCCCCCCACTTCCCAGATGTTCCCACATCTTCCGGGGAATCGACGATTCATTGCGTCTGCGTGTTCTCTCCCCACCGGACAGCACAGCCCTGCCTGTGGCCCATGCCGACAAGCGGCGCATACTGCCGCCGGCACCCGATGGGGAGGTGGTTTGGATGGGGGCGCCGCATGGCTTGCGCGTTTCCTGTCTTGCTTCAAGTTTCGCGCGGGCCCGTCGTAGCGACCCCTGGCCAGCACCGTCGACCGAGGCCCGAGGTGAAGAAAACACGTGACAAATATAGCCCTTGCCCCAACAGACGGCAGGGCAACACGTCTTTATTGCTAATTTGCATGGTCTACTCCAAGTTGCAGAACACGCTCACTCAAGAAAATATCCGAACCGAAATCCAAGGTAAGAACCCAAGAGGAAATCCGCTCGCCGGCCCGATGTTTGAGACATGCCTACGCACGCCTTTGTTCAAATGATGACAGCTTCTGTGACAACAAAATTCAGTTGAGCATTCGATACGCCTGTGTATGAGCATGCCGTGCCAAGAAAAAATGCATCCACCTTGATGGCCACGTCGTGTCCGTCAGGCATGGTGC